GTGAGGTAATTCGACATTTTCGTTCTTTCCCACATTAATATTCTTCTCTCCTTTCGTAAGAATGTAGACATCACTCTTAATGTTTCAAGAAATCCACCCACCCTACAAAAAAGTAACTCTTGCATGCATAGCATGCCTATGTTTTGAAATAGGTGTATGCCCTTGGCCAGACTTGAGCGCACTATTTCAGTATACTAGTCCGACACCCGTGGTATCACTACACTTGATTCCAAGGATCCAGTACCATCCAGGTATCCCAGTTACCCTGCTCACAGGGTCTAGTATGAACGAAAATGGTCGTGTGCTTTTCTGAGATAAAATAAAGCTCGTTAATTCATTGCTTCATATCTTTAATTTCTATCAGTCAAAAACACTTGCGTTCCTAAAATGCATTCTGAAGTTTTTTGTTTCGAGGTAAAAAACTATTCAAGGTTTGTTATCAGATGCAAACGACCGTCGCGTTACGACGCATATATTATTGAGTGACTGTAAGGTGAAACGTAACACAGTAGAGATTAAGATGAGAATAATTTGATCTTGTGCTGACGAAGAAATTTGAACTAGTTGACCACTGAGAGCTTAAAGTTACAAAAACTACCATTCACACACATACATACTTCCGACCGTTTGAAGAATCGACTTTGGTACGCAAGCGACTGCGAAATCCTTTTGCACTGATCAGCGGATTCAGTAAGAAGTTAACAGGAAGTGAGGGGAGGAGTGATAATCCCCTAATTTATTTTTTTCTTGTTCTCTTCTCTTGTCTGCTTGATATAGTTGTGATAATGTAAGGAGAACCTGGTCATTCGTGGGAGTTAAATCGCTAAAGTTGTATTTGGGAAATTGGTTTGTTTTTGTTACTGGTATCCCAGTCATCATAGTTTTTACTACTCTTATCATCACTCATTCTATAATCTTTTGGAAATTGCACGATATGTTGATTAGTCTCAATTTGATTGACATTAATAAGTGATATTATATGTTATTACACAACTTTATCTTATAAATTACGGTGTTATACAAGGATTTCTAGCCCTGAGAAAAGCCGTAACACCACACGAGAAAAAATACGATATTTTTTCACGTGTGTTTAATATCGCCAATCAGCTGCTGACACGTCACTCGCCTTCCGCGCCTCTCGGTCAGGTTGATGATTGAACGACAAAGCCTTCACGATTCTCAGTACAAGGTACTTTGTTGGAACTTTCTCAGATTATGGCGGCTAAAACACTTAAAAATTGGAATCAAACTTTTCTAGAAGGGGAAGATAACCCATATACGAAAAGAAAAACCGAAAGTTTCGTATTCAGTGGCTTTGGTAATGGTATTTCTCGCGGCTGAGAATGAAGTCGACAACTGGAAGCTTTGCCATAGGCCGATTTTGGCCGTGTACCTGAAAGATGACTTCTTTCGTCATGGAGAAATTCAATAAACGAGAATTTGTAAATTGAAAATTACGCCCATTGTTGTTTTTGTAATCATGATTCGACGCATTTTTCAGTCTTGAGCCTTACGGCTACACGTAGGCTACCTAGGGACTCCTGCGATATGTCAATTCGTTTGTCACGCATTCCTCTCGATAACATTTGCGTTTAGCGGCTATTAAAGATCAGTGGAGGCCCGTAATTGCCGCTTAGATTGAAGAGAAACCGGAACCCAAATAGGTCAAATAGGAAAAACCAAAAACCGCATCGTGTATCAAATCCGAAAATCCGTTAGTATTTTTCGCGAAAACCGAAAATCAAATGCTAGAAAACGGAAAATCCGCAAACTGCAATGAACACCAAAACCGAAAAACCGAAATTTTTTTGGCGCAAAAACCGAAATCTCGAACTAAAGAATTGCCAAAACCGCAAAACCGAAAATCTCAATGCCCCCTCCCTAAAGGGCTATTGTGTTTATAAGATAAACAAAATATTACATGGTGGCTTTTAGTTATGGAATTTCTCTTCTCTTGTTCAACTCGACATCTCACTCGTTTGCTGCGCCCTCTCGTGAGCTACGAATTTAAAACTCGAAGAGAAATTCCATATCTAAGCGCGTCCATGTATTATTCTCTATATAGCTAAAAGGAATGCGACACTAGTTTTAAGCCAGTGTATGGTCTCGTTGTTTGTACTTGCACGACCACTGTGTGTGTGTGGTTTTTTTTTTTTTGAACAAACTTGTAGCTGTGATAGAGAGTTGACCAAAGCGTTGTATTGGAATCGTAAAATCAATTGAATAAAAGGAAACATAATTAGGAAAAGGAAAAAGGGAAATTGCAAAGTTTCAGGTCTTATTTCATTATCCCAAAACAATTTGGTGCTGGTTTGACTCTTCGTATAATGACTTCTATAGGAAATTAATGGTTTCCACCACCACCAACAACAACAACTAAGTCGGACTTGGAATCGTAATCAGAAGAGCAAAACAAAATAGTAACACCAATGAAATTGGAAATAGAATGGCTCTCGTCTCTTGTGATCCAGTAAAAACCTGATTGTTGGCCAGAAGTCACAAGGACCTGGAGATCTTGAGACTTGGCCCTGTTATTCGTTGTTTCTTCCGCACAGGCGTTCCAGCTGATAATTCTTTCGCGCCCTTACGAATACGATTCCGACTCCGACTCCGTAGATAGCGAAAACTGGTTCGCCTGTTTGAAAAGATCTATTGTTTGTTTGTTTTTTAACAGGCGAAGATCTTCAGCTGAGTGAGTCTGGGAGTGATAGTGATTGACAAAGCGATTCAGCGGTGTCTATCTAATAGGACTCAAAGGATATTTAATATAATTTTGACAAGAACGTGTCCGCCTTGTGGACTTCAATCAGTGGCGGATTTTCACCTATTGACTCTGTAAAAATATCGAGGGGATGGTTTTTGGAAACAATTATCAGGTAGTTTTATCCGTAATATTCAGCGATAGTTCTCGTTTCTGATGGTTCTTCCGTTTCAAAGTTCTCTACAGGGTCTTGACACAGAACGATTTAAAAACGAAAAAAATACCCATTTCTTTACAACGGCGATTTGAATTTAGGGCGTAAAATTATTTATTCAGTCATGAATATCTTAACAGACAACTAATTGAATATTGATAACCAATGAGCGATCGAAAAAATTCTTGCTCATAATTCATAGAGGGTGCCATCTTTATTCCAAAAATTCTGCACCGTTTCTTCTCTATTCCTCAATCAATCAATCAATTACGCCACAAACACAGACGTAATGTGTCGTACTTGTTACTATTCTGAAACAGGTTTATCCCTCAAACAACAATATTGCAAAATAGGACAATAATCACCCTACTTCCATATTCTATACCCTTTAATGTGCTGGCCCTCACTACCGCGCCACAACCTTGCATGCCCCTTCGCAAGTTGGTCCATTAACTCCCAAGATCTGATTGTTAATTCTCCCCTCTAACTGCTACACATTTCCTCGTGAATTAGTTATGAGAATTTAATGGTAGATCAAGAACTTCAACCTGAAAAGTTTAAATATTCTCATAATATAAAGAGAAGTTGCATGTTTATTAATTAAATGAGGGTCAAGGGGTTCAAAGACTCTTGTACTTTGACCCGCTTTGCTTTTGCAGCGCACACATACTCTTCAGTCAACATTTTTTTTTTCGAATACAGCTGTAAAAAATGTATTTAAGCATTAAGGAGCACTACAAGGACCTCACTTTAGTGAACGACGCGGACTGGGCTTCGTTTTCAGACTGTTTAGCCCTAACCTGCGAACAGGCCCCTTATTATTAATGCTTCGGCACGAACCGTTTCTTCGTCCACGTGAAAGTAGCAGGCCTTGAGCGAAGAGAGCCTGCGAGAGGTCCGTAAGGGGTCTGTTCTGATTACTAAAGCCAGACTCCCGGCAAACCTCTCCCCGACTCGTCTCGAATCTTCTTGCGGTCGGAGAAGCGTTCGTCCTGCGGCGCTATTAGTAATGATGGGGTAATTTGATATTATCTACAAAGTTGAAACGTAAATCGGCCACCCTAAAGAGTTTAAAGGCTGACGTTTCGATCGTTAGCCCTTCGTCAGAGCGGTTGAAGGGCTAACGCTCGAAACGTCGGCCCCTTTCCGTTAGCCCCTTTATTCAATAGTAATGACGGCCTGCTCACAGGCTAGTTTAGCTCACACAGCTGAAAATCGAGCCCATGTAAGTACAGGACAGCTTGTAAATATTTGAAAACAAATACGTAAGGAAACAAATGTAGACATGTAAATTTAACTATAAGCGATGAAAAATATTAAAGATGTTCGAGAACGTGCGTCGTGTTTCTGGACAATTTTCCAATCCAAGGTCTATTAACTAAAATCTTCCGGTGGACGAAGGAAGCCCCTCTTATGACGGCCTGTCAATCACATTTCTTTTTTTTCTGGTTTTCGTTAAAATTATATTTTTGTGCTTTTGTCGGTTAGCTGGTTTGTTTATTTGGTTGATATTGTAGTTAGGCTGACGCCTTATCACATATTCACTTATAAATAATATCATAACAGAAATTTTATGTTATCTCACTTCAGTTAAGACCAGCTCATTACGTGTTAATTCTCTCTTGCGGAAGCTTTCTTTCACTAACGAGCGCCGTTTGTTTTTATTGCTGTTGTTGTTGTTGTTTCGAACTGTTTATTTTCATTAAAAAACAACACCAATATTGTTTTCTGGTCGGACTCATGGGTAAAAAAATATGACAAACACGTTTAAGTATTCAAGAAAGTTACTCTCTTGGGAGAATTTGGGCTCGTTTCGTTACAAGGATGGGAGTGAAAGTCAATCCAGAGAGGTAAGATATTTTGGAGTCGCTTGACTTCTAAGTACCATTTTCCGTTTGCACCTGTTTTTGCTGAATTAGTTTTACTTTGTTCAATAACAAAAATTTCAGCAAAAATTTGCATTACAAGGGTTTCAATAACCTTTTTTTCCTAAGCGGTTGCCGGCCGGTTATGTAATAAGCTGCTGATCTCGGAAAAGAACCCGAAGGTGAAACACGAGAGTCTGCGAAACAGACGGCGGTAAGGGGTCATAAAGGCGGCGGTAAACCGCCTGTAACCGACTTTTATTGAAACCCTTATAATGCCACTGAAGATGCGGGGCTACTGTTAACGCACAATATGAATCGCAGCTACTAATTCTGCCAAATTTCTGTAAAGATATTTTAAAACAAACTCGTCGCACTCGTTTGTGAGCAGTAAGTTTTCTCGGCCCGTTTAGATGGCCCCAAATATTGATCAATGAATTGATTGATGCAAACAAAACGGTTTTTAAAAAAATGCAAATTTCTAATGTAGCAGCAACAGTTGGAACTTCGACCACACGCTGTTTGAATATTCACATCTATTCCATGCTAGACTGATCATCATCAAGTACCTGAACAAACAGAAGTACTTTTGGTGAATTGCTTTCAAGTAAACATTGCTTTGAAACCATTTAAAAGGTTTTATAGACAGATGGTGAAAGCGTTTGTTTATTGGTCAACAGGAGCACTCGCATTTACGAGGTGCACTGTTGATGAATCAAATATTTATGAATTACGATCAAGTCTGTCTTTGTTTATAATCGAAAGTGTACGCTCGCGTTACCCTAAGGTCTGAATTAACATAAAGTGCTCGAGTGAAATTTAATAAACGCTAGCAATATCTTGTGTGCGAGATTGGAGATTGTAAACATGTATTCTCCTTAAAGGCGCCAGCTTAATCACCTTTTGTTCGATTTTAAAGGAGTATTCTAATGGATAAAATATCGCCACAGAAAAAGAGCGCGAGAGTACGGAAAACTTCGGCGAACAAGGGATTTTGGGCCCAGAAAGCGACTCGAGAGGCAAGGAATGTCATAGACGCATTTGAAAACTTACTGCGAGAGAAATCAAGGCAACAGATCTTTGGAGCAGGAGTGGCGATCGCTATAACCCTGATCATATTTTTCTACTCTTTGTATATTGGAAATTATCTTATTGCTTTGATAGTGATCGCTGTTTGGGTTGCAACATGAAAACGACCCCGTCATCATATCTTTGTTGAGGTTGGAAAGCAGCGTTGCTTCGACCAAAAGCGGAAAAACTTTCGTGTGCCTCGAGCAGAACACTGTCGACAATTAAGAATAAATTATCACGATTGACTTGAGTGAAGAATGAACAAAGACCACGAGTTTTCCGTGAGAATAATGACTCTGGAAGCTTTTGATCTCGACGAATGGAAGATAGCGAGCGAGAAGTTGCCTCTTAATTATAAAACGATAGATTTGCAGATTTGAAAAAAACAAAAACCAAACAAAACAGTCGTAATGTCAAGAAGAGGTTCATCCCAGCTTGATGAAATTTATTCCGTTGAATACCTGGATCATATAGAGACACCCGTGTAAATATTGTTGCAATAAACTTGGAAGATTTTTAGGAGATTCATACGACAGTTTTAGTGAACCAGCGTCAGTGCATTCTTTGGATTGTATGCTATTCCCGAAATAGACTGAAATATTTGAAGAAAATGTATTTAGAAAAATCAGTTTAAAGTCGGGGTTAGCTAATGCAGGCGAAAGGTTCAACTTAGATGCAATTTTACAATGTAAAATAACTATTGATGGAGAATTAAGGTTTGTTCATTAAGGATGATCAGTACTTTTACTGCACCGCAGGGCTTTGCGGGGAATTTATCGCTATTGTTGCCCGCAAATACCAGTAATACTGCACGCTCTTTAAAATTTAGCTGGTTCACTTAGCACAGTGAGAAACTGAATACAAACCCTCAAGACGGTTGGTTTAATTGTGAGGTGCAAATCGGTCTGAAAAGAAGGGTGGAAATGTTATTGTTTTGAGACCGTTTAATGGTACAAAGCCTTTTTAATTTTTAGTGAAAACACAGGGTGTTTCTTTGGGAAAAGAACTAAAATAAAAACATCCAACGGTAGATAGATGGTGACGGATTTTTCAAACCATTTTTTTTTATTAGTTTTTCTTACACCTGCATGTTATGAATGTTGGTGGAAAATTTGTCATATGCAAATAATTTTTCATGTAGGCATTAAAATGCCATTTTAGTATGCATGAAGGAGAGGATATTCACTGTTAAGGGAGCGTAAATTTATGAATTTGTGCATTTGCATATTTTTTTGTCTGCTCTTTTTTTTCGGCTGAAACTATTAAAAGTCTATTTTCCAAACTGGCAAGACTCGAGTCGATTTAGAATCCTTGTTTTTTAGTACTCCGCTGACTTCATTTCAATGAAATATTGATCTACTTGGTAATATTGTGCTTAGTTAGACCGTAAAGTTATTTGTCTGGCAAACAAAATATTCACGAGGCCGACTGAAGATCACTTAAAGGACAGAAGACTTACAGCTGCACGCTTAATTTACAAAATGGCATAATAAGGGCTAAGGTTAATTGCCGCATCCGAACCGGGAAAAGTACTGGCAAAATAATTCCTTGATCGGTTTTCGTGTTTATTCATATGTCTTCTTCAGCGAATCATTCTAAAAAGATTGACCTGGTATAAGGACTGATTAAAAGATGTTTCTCCTCCTTTAAGTTTTAAGTTAATGGTACATCTCCAAGGGGAAATGCAACTGGAATATATAATATACACCCGTGCGTTTTATTGCATCGGAATTACGTCTTTAAGGAGTACTACGATGCCGGCTGTATTTTTTTCATGAACTGCTTTTTGAACTGAGTGGCTGTTTGTGTATCAGTCGTCCGAAGCAAAGCTTCGATATGAACTGTGCCGTGAGATACGTAAACAGTCATAATTTGCCGGAAGTCAATCTATTTTCCGGTATAGCCTGTTCCATTCTGTCAGTCAGTGATGTCAAACTGAGGAGCGGGCCAGTGACAAACGCGAGTTGCGTTTGTGGGGAAGGCATTATCCTAACATAGCTAAACACTAATGGCAATCGTATTGATCATAGTTTTGCATAGAAATACTTACACAGGGCGCAACTTTCCACAAAATAGTTCCGGAAGGATGCATGTTCACAATTCATGTCCATATCGGAGACAAGAAGCCATATGCAGCCATAAAGACCTCTAAAAATGATAACAGCAATCTTCTTTTTTAATCATATTTTATTAATTTTCTTTTCGTTCTCCTTCTATCTGACAAACGAGACATGGTCATCCTAACAGACTGTTCATCTCCTTTTTGGAACCACTGATTGCACACTGGCCCCATGCTATTGCTCTACATGAAAATTCAAAACAGACAAAAAGATTCATGATCATTGATTGACTCCAATTAAACAATAGAATATCATTAATAACTCAACTCAACACCCTAAGTTAGGCGGTACCTTCAAGATCCGTGAAATCACATGTTAACGTACCTACGGCAAATTGTTTCCTTTCAACTTTTCTTAGATAAGATGTTGTTAAAATCAATTTTGAATTTGAATTACCTCAACATCCGTAGATCTCCATCCTCATCGAGATATGGCTCTGATAGGTCCAAGGATGAATTCTGACATAGCGAGCCGTTATAGGCGAGCTCAGAAAGTTGTACACGATGGTATCTCGGTCGTTGTTGGCGGAAAAAATCTGAAAGACAACATCCAAGTAACCTATTATACTTGAACAATTTTTTAGGGAAAGCTAATGTAAATTACTGATTGATAATTAACCCTCGTACGTCCAACCTTCAAAGTCGACATAGTTATTCATGTTGTTGTTCTTGCTTGCAAAATTTATTTACTAATTTTTCCATTTATTAAAGAAATTTTAAATTGACTGCTGGAAGTGGTCGGGGATTATTTGACGTTTGCTTTACTTCGCTCTGTGATTGGCCGCAAAACTCATGCCACTTCCTCAACCAATCAGATATAAAAGGAAAACCAATCACGTCTTGGTTGCGCATGTTTTCCCGCGCTTGAGGCAGTCAGGTCGGTTTTACTTTGAGTTCTCATTGGCTCTTGAAATTTTATCTTCCTTTTTTCTGATTGGCCGTTGATATTATTTTGGTTTTAGTTTTTCATGAATATTTGAATATCAGGTTGAATTTTAAGAAAAATTTGGTTGAGCTAATTGCCAAGTTACAAGTTTATCGTAATGTTATTGGCTGAAA